CATGTTTGTACTGTGTCTCACAGCTTGAGGTAAGATATTCTGTGGCCCAGTAAATCAATCCTGACATCAGTACAATGAAAACAGTAAGATCAGAGAGCCACATGTGGCTACCACATGGTCATAACTTTCATTCTAGTGTGGCACCACATAACACCAGTAACTACATGTAACAGATAATCTATTTGTTTTGTCACAACAAACACATCTTGCTTGTCTGATGTAACCTTCTAATCCTTATCATGTAAGTAACAATGTTTTCTCTCCTCTTAACACCTGTATCTATAAGCAAGACTAGTCTACATTGTTGGAAAGCATGTAACACTTGGGGCCATGTTAACTATATAACTCCCCTGCCAAAAAAAGGAATTATCCATGAACATGGGCCCTTTAAATTCCCATTTTTTTGTTATTTTCATCACACAGTACACTATATTTTTCATTCTACCAAATTTTCCCCATAAAAAAATCCTTGGAAATTATCTCTTAAATATCACCAAGTCAGTACTATTACATAAGTGTTAATGCATCTATCATGTTTTCATATGAGCTACAGATGTACTAGATGTACAACAGTCATGATATTAGAATATGTGCTTCATTTGTGGGTTTAAATGTCATTTCAAATGTTTAAAATCAAAATCTACAACAAGGAAAAAATTATGCTGAAATTAAAGGGGAAGAATCCCCTTAACCATAAATCTGAAGATTGTAAAGATAAAATGGTGCCACTCTCAACCTCAGAACTCTTTTGGACAGAAGTCCGTAAAATATAGTATGGGTTCATATCATCCTTAACATAAATTTACAACAACATACTGACTACATACCTAAACCATGCTACAGAATCTGTTTAATTCCATCATAAAGTAAGCAAACAAATGCTTAAATGCTTATCTAAAATAAACATAAAACAATGACGGGAGAAAAATCTGGAGATTTTAGTCTGATCTGAACGTGTACCATGTGACCTGAAGATAGAGGGTGTTGTTTGGCCACCCGCCTGCCCCTAATTACAGACAATGATGGACATGATTGGCTAGCAATTACCTGGACAAGTGAAGGTACAAGGTGTTTGTTTAGAGGATGTCTTACACTCCATCAACACTTGCCAACAGGTCAAACCTCAAACCCCACACCTCAGTAATAAACTTTGATGCCCCTGTAGTCTTCAAACCATAACATTCTCCCTCTCTACTGAAAACAAAATGTACACAATATAAAGCTCACCAAATCAACCCAAACCTCCAAAACAACTTATCTTAGGTCTCACCTTTCAAATCCAATTTGCTTTATTTTTCTATTTTGAGCAAAGTAGGATTGTCTTATTTCTTCTTTTCAGAAAGCGAATTAAGCATTTAGTAAGAAAATTTGAATCTGCTGGAAGACAATTTCCAATAATGATAAGGTTTGTAAGATTCTTTGATATTTTTTCTTTACAGAATCGGAATGAAAAAATACTTAATCTGAATTATCTCATTGGGAATGGAGCCAAATTTCAGCTGCAAGCATATGTATTTTATGTACTGAATGGTGCTAGACTTTTAAAGTTGCCCTTATATGATACCACTTTTATTGGAAAAATGCATTTCCCATATCATTTAGTGTTTTGCAGTGTTTTTCAACAAATTGTGGCAAAAAGATGATTGTATATCATAAAAAATGTTTAAAATGTTTGGTCAAAAACTGAGAAAGACTATCCTCAGAAAAGAACGAGTAGAAAAAGGGCAATAACTTTTAAAACTCATTAAATCCAGATGAAATAAAGCTTAGGAAAACACAACATGTCAAGCTGTACACATGGCAAAGTTTGAAAGTCATAGGTGTAAAAATGAGAAGGCTGATCTCAAGGCAAATCTGAAGAGCTCAACAAAGGGCAACAACTCTAGAAACAAGAAAATTATTTCCTGTTAAATGGCCTATCTAAAATTAGATTAACTACATGTTATAATAACAAAGCCTGCAGACAGTTTCAGTGAGATTGGTCCAGCATCAAATGATTTCCTAACAAAAAAATTCAATGTGGACAAACAGATGGACAGACAATGCCATATATCTTCATACATGATGGGTATTGACAACAAGAAAACCAAAATATTTATACCAATGTAAGCTGGCTTTGAGAGTCTATTGACATGATGCTTATACATTTCCAGACAAACAGTTTATCCAATGTTTTCTGATCTAGACTATTACTTTATACAAAATACTAGTGTCTCCATTTCCAATTGGGAACTTGTAAACTGCATGAGCCCTAAAACATATGGTAATATTGGTCTGAACAAAAATCCAGCCTTCAGGTTCACGCCCTGAAGTCAATTTTTCTTTATTTCACTAGATAATAGCTGCATTTTGTCTTCAACATTAAGGTATACATTACTACAATTCACAAAATTGAGAACTACTCGATATATTTCAACAAATTTCATTACTGTTTGGTAATTTGATTCCCCTCAAGAATTTAATTCAATACAAGAAAAAGTTAAATCTATTTATTTGGAACTATGCAACTTTGCCAGTTTGCCATTTTAAGAAAATCATGTGAAATTTATTCAAAATATTGACATGCATTTATATTGATGTTTTAAGGTGTGATGAAACTCTAAAGTTTCTTTTTTGATTTAAAATATTTTAATGCCAAAGAAAATTTGGTTTTCATTGTAGTTGAAGTAGGAGCCTTATTTCAATGTATAAGTGACACACATGCACCAGCAGAATAAAGACCTTTTTCTAACCAAAATTTCACAACTTTGAAACAATTCTTTATTTTACAAGCTAGATTGTTTAAATGTGTGACAAAATATTTTGTTTTCATCTCAATGGAAAATCGACTTCAGAAATAAAATTCAGTAAAGACATTTTCATCAACTGAATTTTCAAGACAAAAAAGATTTACTTAAAACTTTTACCTCATCTTCAACTTCCAGACAAGAAGGAGTTAGATAAAACTTACTGTTTTTTCTACATTTAATTGAAAATAAACAACATAATATAATGCAAATATTGCCTTTTTCATTAAGCTTCCTGGAGTTTAGCGCGGCAGAAGTGCAAATCAGAATGCTATTATATGCAAACACCTGTAAAATATGAACAATTTCAGATATACCAAACTCCTATATAATCTGGATACCTACATACTAAGGATGCCTGTAGATATGATTGATTCCTAGATAATCTGGTACTTGTATAAGCTGGACACCTGTAAAATATGGACAATTTTAGATATACCAAACACATGTATAATGTGGACACATGTATATTAAGGACACCTGTATACTAAGGACACATGTATACTAAGGACACCTGTATACTACGGATGACTATAGATATGACAGATACCTCTATAATCTGGTACCTGTATAATGTGGACACCTGTATAATGTGGACACCTGTATACTAAGGATGACTGTAGATATGATTGATACCTCCATTGTCTGGTGCCTATATAATTTGGACACCTGTATAATCTGGACACCTGTATACTAAGGATGACTGTAGAAATGATAGATACCTCCATTGTCTGGTACCTGTATAATGTGGACACCTGTATAATGTGGACACCTGTATACTAAGGATGACTGTAGATATGATTGATACCTCTATAGTCTGGTACCTGTATAATCTAGACACCTGTATAATGTGGACACATGTATACTAAGGATGACTGTAGATATGATAGATACCTGTATAATTTGGACACCTGTATAATCTGGACACCTGTATACTAAGGATGACTGTAGATATGATTGATACCTGTATAATGTGGACACCTGTATAATGTGGACACCTGTATACTAAGGATGACTGTAGATATGATAGATACCTGTATAGTCTGGTACCTGTATAATCTGGACACCTGTATAATGTGGACACCTGTATACTGAGGATGACTGTAGATATGATAGATACCTGTGTAATGTGGACACCTGTATACTAAGGATGACTGTAGATATGATAGATACCTCTATAGTCTGGTACCTGTATAATCTGGACACCTGTATAATGTGGACACCTGTATACTAAGGATGACTGTAGATATGATAGATATTTAGATAATCTGATACCAGGAACAGCTGTATTATCTACACATTTTTTTTGCAATACATTGATAGTTTATCATATTCCTTGTAGATAGGCCCAAAGGGCTTGAACAAACTCAATAAAACCAGGGTTATTTTTCATATATAACACCACAAGATCCTTTCAGTAGTAACTGCAATAAAATGACTTTTAAAAAATATTCACTTGTTTTCCTGAAAGTAGAAACACTGGAAAACATTCTTGTCTCACAGGATAGATGTCTAATTTAAGCGTATAGTTCTTTCAATTGTTACAGATCAGGATTAAAGGTTCGTTTGATAATGGGTCTACTTAAAACAGTAAATAATGTTCCGAACCACAAATCCCACAAAAAAAACCGTCAACATTTAAAAATGTTCCTCACCCAAAATCCCACAAAAAAAGTCAGATAATCTTATCATTTTACTTTGTTGCTTGATGCTAGACTGTCAACGCTAAAAATACTATTTTATTTTGTATATTAACACATATTCACATGTTTAATATCATATATATATATATATATAGAGAGAGAGAGAGAGAGAGAGAGAGAGAGAGAGAGAGAGAGAGAGAGAGAGAGAGAGAGAGAGAGAGCTAGAGAGCGTTTTATTTTTAGATGCACTTTTGTCCTGTATTTTTTACTTGTGATGGACCCACTCCCTCAAATATATTCTAGGGTTATCATATTACAAGTGATAAAGATTTGATGATGATCTACTGAATTTTTTCGCATTCTTTTTAAATTTTAATCAAAATTTAAATTGGCTATAATGTTTATACTAAAAATCACACTGTCTATAACGTTGTGCAAGGAAGTATGGCGCAAAAGGTCTTCAAACGTACCAACACAAAACCCATCAATGCCTGACGTTTCAGCGTTAGGCCTGTATGTACCGTTAAAATTTTCGGCGGCCAAAAAATTCATTTTAAAAAATATCTCTTACCGTGAAAATGAACTTTCCTTTCCAGCCTTTCTCCCTCTGTTTTATTCCATGCGTGTACTTTAAAATGTCTGCCTACAGTTTGTGTGTTTTATCGAAATGAGCGCCAAAGTTTATGATTGAACGAAATATCGGTCACATTACGATAAGCGACGACACACATGTACATGTCCTACTTTCACATTCACAACGGCGTCAACATGTGTTGGTGTCAACACTCCAATTCCTCTCGACAACCCATGTTACAGCTGTATTGAAGCCCCTGGGGTCGGGTTGTCGGTGTCACCCCTCGGGAAGGACCACAGCACCCCGCTGTGCTACGTTCGACCCTCCGAAACACTGTGATACACTGGCTGTTCGCTCGCTACTTTTGAAGCGAGAATATTAGGAAATCAAGGGAGATCATTCATGCTGTGATTCGCTTTATTGACACCAACCGATAGTATATTGTATTTGAACTGAAGGTCGATCATACCCAAAACGTTATTGAACTTTACTGATGATTTTAACACCTGTGTTAAGGTTGTTGTCCTGGAGTACCTCTATCAATATGATAACAGAAGAAATATGAAAATTGAATTTCACATTTGGAATAAGATATAAAAGTTCTATCAAGAGGGGCGGGGTGTGTATATTTTAGACATAATTTGGTGTGGATCTAGAGACAATTAGTTTAAAGTTGATATGAGCGTCAAAGAGCGTTATTTTTTTAATTTTGATAATAATTATTAGGGTGTAAAATTAAAAAGTGTGAATTCATCGTCCGATATCACAAATTACAATGTCGCTACAATTGTCATCATTGGAATTAAACCGTGTTGTGACGTATCAATTTCTACACCAACACATACCATATATAAATGTCAGTCTTCCGGGTGCCTCCTGTTAGCAAGAATTTCTGCTCTCTCTGTCAAAGATTTTAAAAGGACGTGATCTATTCAACAGAGACCTCCATTAGCACTATTGTACTCACTGATTGCTCTATAAACATGTAAAACTGTAACGTTGTGGATATTACATTAGAAAGTTTGGAAACCATTTTCGGTTCTGTTACAATAAAAAAGAATACTCATTTGATGTGAAGTAGGGATATTGCCGCCCCCATCCCGACCCCCTCCCATACCACCCTCCGCCCCCGACCCACACCCCAACACATCATCTCAGCTCATTCTTCGACTTTCAATGTATATTTCGTTGACCAAAATCGGAAAAAAACATGTCAGATTTGTGAAAATGGTATGGATGATCCTTGGGTGCGATCGATATCGCCACGGGACTATGTGGTCAGTTGCGGTACCTCGCGAAAGCAGTGGTGTCATTCTCGTGCGCCATTAACAGGAAGGGGCCAAGGGCAGCTTCTTTTTTCCCTCGGTAACTGTCGAGATGTTCTGCTCAGGAAGTCGCCCTTCCTCTCAAACACACTATCCCAACTTACAGAGGGAAGTCCATCGAAACGGCGTTAAAAGATGATGACGACGACGACGACGACGACGATGATGATGATGACGATGATGATGATGATGATGATGATGATGATATGATGATGATGATGATGATGATGATGATGATGATGATGATGATGATTGATGATGATGATAAGAGGAGAAAGAGGAGAAACACTGATTTTTTCCGTCTCTTCATGCTTCAAAGAATGCGATCTATACGTAATTTTAAAATCGTACTGCATCCTTGGGTTTCCATAATGTAATTCAAAATAAACACAAGAATAGCAACATGGTGGTCGATAATTGTTCCGTTAATTTTAGAATGTTAAGATCACGTGATGCTTGCTAAACTACACACTTAATCGTTAACTCTTAGCTAAAATTTAATGGTGAAATGCATAACACGCATGATAAAACATGAAATACGGGTCAATATAAGTACTCTCTTTCCCCTCTTTAATCTATTTCTGTTAAAAATGAAAATTTTACATACAGTGTAGTAAACTTGAATTAATCTACTTACCGTTTTTAAGTATCTCTAGTTGACCGTAAGAGAACATATATATGTGTGTGTGTGTGTGTGTGTGTGTGTGTGTGTGTGTGTGTGTGTGTGATGGAGAGGTGCCCACACCAACTAATGGATTGTATCTAATATCACTTTTGATAGCAAAATAAATTCAGATTCGAAAAGGAAAGAAAGAAAGTGAGGATAGAGGGAGAGAAAAGAAAGAAAGTGAAGAAAGAAAGAAATGAAAGAAAGAAGGAAAGTATGTTTAGATGCCTATAACCATCATCAGAGTGTTAGTGTAAAATATCATGGAGATCGGTTTACACTTAATGGACAACTTCAGAGTTCACCTGTTTTAAAATAATATACATGTGAGATTCCAATGTTAACGTGGAAACAATATTGACAAGCTTACCGGGATATTTTTTTCAAAACTTCAAATCATTCTTATTTCTGTATCTGTATGAGACATCTAGCGTCATAAAAATAATATAATTTTAACATTTAGACTACAGTGAAGTCTAAATTACACAGAGCACAATTACGATATGTGATTTAAGCTTCTCGTCCAATATTACTTGATTCACGTATGCTACACCATGCCTACTCAATGTAAACAGAAAACACACAAAAAATTAAAAGAAATGAAGAATTTTGTGTTAGACTTAATTGGATCTTGGTCATTTACGAACGCACGAGTTAGCTCCCTTTGATTAATACCATGAATGTTTACAGATAAATTCAAAATATTCGTTAAAAAAAGATTGATTAAGGCGTACGTAAACGACAAGACACGTGTAATAAGTACATCCTTAATATACTTTCGTATTTATTTATTCATTCATTCATTAAACGCCTGCTCTTACAAAATTAGATCTGATCATTTCAAAATAATTACTTTACGACCGGTCAGAGCACATGCATACGATGCTCATGAAAATGCATAGAAATCATTATATTCTTTCTTATGCCGAAGTCACTAGTGCATGATAAAAAGTCGAGATAAACTGAATACTCCACATATTCATCTGGTGTAAATTTTAACTAAACAGACACAATAAAATCGATAGCGCGCACTGAAATTCAATGTTGCATGTCCCAAAATAAAAGTAGGAATATTTTTTTTTTCGATAACGTCATCATCTTCAAGTGGTATCAAAAATAGCGCTCTATATTTGTGAAATTCTTGACATTCCGAACATTCTCATCTATTTTGGTTGGCAGTGCTCAGCTCTCGAATACATTGACAGCCATTTCAGGGCCAAAGACTCTGTTACCATGAAAACGAAAGGTTGTACATGACATAATGACGTTCATAGTGTGCATGTCTAAAAATAACATGTTGTAACATTATTGAAATTATTGTTGCTTTAAATAACTAGATTGAAGATATAATCATATTTCATATAATTTAAAGAAAAAAAAAACAAAACACTTTCCAAGCCATTTTTGCAGTTCTTTTTTCTTGTGATTACTGATCGTGCCTAAACTCGGTTTCCCGACTTTTATGAGTTCAGGTTTAAGTCTTTCTGTGACCCCTGTTGTCTAGACAACAGATTATAAAAACAACAACTATAGAAATAGAAAAAAATCAGATGTCACCGCCATCAAACAACCTAATTCAGAACCTGCCGTGAAAAAAAACTTAATAAACCTGAAGAAGAATGGAAGAAGAAGGAGAAGAAGAAGAAGGAGAAGAAGATGAAGAAGAAGATGAAGAAAGAAAGAAAGAAATAAAGGAAAAAATGAAAGAAAGAAAGAAAGCTAGTAATTGGCGTTACCTTGAAATCAACATTGCTTCATGATAATTGGCAACAGGTCAAACCCCAAAGATGGCCGCATCCTGGCAGTTTGTGACATCCTCTCACAACGAAAGAAATATTTTTAGTTCTCACAAAACTTCCCTCGTTCTCACCGCAGTTGTGTATTTGTATCTTGAGTTTAAGAAGAACTTTTATATATACTGAGACCCCGAGCTCATTACCAACTCGAGTTACCAATGTTCGATGCTAAACACATGTTTTTAATACAATTAAACATATCTTCTGAACGCTTAAAGAACATACTCGATAACTCCCACTATCATAAACAAAAATCAAACTGGATGACGTGACTGAGAATCCGGAATTATTCCCATAATACCTCATTAACGTATCAAATATTACGCACATCAACAGAACGAAAATGCCACATTAAGCTTCTCGGCGTTTGGCAACAATAGTTCTGCGTCCCCCCAGAGGTTACGATCGTTTACCACAAACAGCCTTCAACAGACTCTGTAACATTTACCCCGAAAACACACCTGTTTTTTATGTTACGATTCAAAAGCCAATTATTTTCTTTGCGAAAATCAAACAAAGTCTAATAAAGTAGAAATGTTTTGTTATTTCGTACCGGTATCTTGTATAGTTGCTCAATTAACCCTAAATCCAGAAGACCAAAGAACAAACTCCTTTACGGAAAGTTGTATTTGCAGACAGACCGACATCGACCGGAACAAACCACAGTGTATACAATATTCGACTTCTGTATACTTCGCTAGACAATATACTGATAGACTTTCACTTCTGATGGGATCCAATTTTAGCAATTTTCGAGGATGTAATCATATCTTGATAAGTAAATGCATTGATGACAGCGATTCAAAGACGATTTTATGACTTCTGTGAGAAAAACCAGAACCCAGAAATGTAAACCATCGAAAATCCAGAACCCATTTAAGGTATACAAAGTAATTTTATATACCGAGGACGAACAGTTAACCGGAAGTTTAATCAATAGATAAAAAAAATGTAAGGTGTCGGATGTATATTTCACTACGTAAAATGAGATTCGATATTACTTATATATAATTCATGTCGTTAACATGACAACTGCCTGTTTTACCGGTATAGAACATAAGAAGGGACTCCTAATGGTACGGTTGTACGTTTAAGGTTTGCTTATAAACTTTAACGTGGCTTAATTACTATTCAATCAGAAGCGAGTCGAACACTAGTTCCCGAAAGACAAAAGCGTTTTAATCATGGCTCGTCAGCTGACAAACTGAAATACTGTAAAAGGAGATGTAAAGCTCGTTAAATCGGAACATTGATTGTTTTCACTTTCAATCTGGGCTACTTGATCAACTAATCAATAATCCTACATTATCCATGTATACATCAAACGAATTACAAAGCTACCGAACCAGTGATCGAAATCACTGTAAATCTCTTT